AATTACTGTTTTATAAATAAGCTTTGAACTCTCTTAAGTAATTGTCTCTCCTTGCATGAAAGCACCCTCTAAATCCACCGGCCTTTTCCACCTTCTGTCACAATCAAGAAAAAATCCAGGGGAAAGAAATCCACCTAATGCCTCGCAGGAGAAACTCCCAAACTTTCCTTTACACTGCAGTGATTATTTCTCCGAGCTTGCAGTAATTCCACTAACAGAAGCCTTGTGGCTTTCCCGGCTCTTGGTGAATTTTTTTGGCAATATTTGACATATTTTCAAAACTTCTCTGGAGTTACAAGGACCAAAAAAAAAAAAAAAAAAGGCCACGTTTCAATATTTCAATTTCTACCCCCTGAGGTTACAACCAGAGAAAGGACAGGAATGAAGAAGCCTTTTCCAAAGGTATTAATTCCCATAATGTTATTTTTTTTAAACTAGCCCTGTGATTTCTGGGTGTGTTTAAGCAGCCTGGGATAGAAATCCTGGCAGATGTGAAATCCTTAACCCCTGCACACCCCCTGCCCAGCCCGGGTGCAATCCCCCCATTTATTTAACAGAGCAGAGACAGGGAGAGCATTCCTGAGGCGGGGAGAGCTCCTTCCACCCTGCAAGTCGCAGCTTTTATCCCCAAAATCCCAGCCAACATTAACACGCAGCTCCAATCGCTCGGGCCTGACACGATCTGAGCAGCAGCACAAGGAACAGCCCGACTTCATTTCAGCCTGGAGGCTGAGCCAGGCTCGAATTCAGGCCCAAACTCAGGCTCCCAAACTCAGGCTCCCAAACCTGCTCGGCTCAGCAAGAAGCACTTGATGGGATCGGGAAGAAAACGCGGCCGAGTGGAAATCAGGGAATAACAGCATGAAAATGGGGGGCAGGAGGGTTGAGCTCCTCCTCACCCCATCCCCGAGCCCCCAAATCAGGACAGGCACAGCCCCTGTCCCTCCCCACCCGCAGCAATCCCTGCCTGGGAGCTCTTTAAATGGTTTGAAATGTTAATTCCTCATCGTGGCAGTAAAAGCTATTTTTAATCCCACGTGAAAGCAGTTTGCAGAAACCCAAACTTTGCACGAATTATGGATTGCTTCCCAAGTGCTGGGAGCAGAAAACAGGGTACATCATCAGGGAGACCCATCCGGCTGCCCAGAGCTTAAACCTGGTCCTAAGGGTAGGGCTGGGGCTAAAACAGCGCATAAAAGCCGATCCAAAACACTCCGCCTTCAGTAAAAGCTTTAGTGTATCTTGTTCTTAGTTAAAATCAGCTTTTTCTCAGGTTTCCCGCATGTTCTCTTTGTACTCGGGGTTTCATTTCCCAAACACGGGGGTGAGGATCCGGGAAGCTGAGACAGAAAGGTCTCACTTGTGAATGGAAGAGCAAAAAAAGGAGAAAATATCGCAAAGAAACAGAGGCGAGAAGCTGCGGGGCCGAGTGTCTGCGAGCGGCCCGGGAGAACAAGGGCGGCTCTGAGCCTGAAACCCAGTCCATCAGGAGGGGAGATTAGCGGTGCCAATGAATAAAGATAACGTCCCGGAGCAGCCCGAGCATCGCCAGCCCGGATTCCTTTGTCCGTCCCCACCTTTGCGCTTCCCAAAAGGAAAGCCAAGCCAAGCTGGCCCTGCAAGCGGTGCCAAATCGCAGCCTGGTGGCTCCGGACGAGCCGCTCCCATTCAGCAGGGCTATAGAGTGTCGCGATCTGTCTGTGCAATCACAACACACACAAAAACCCCTCCGGGCACCCACTCAGCCGCACTTTTCAGCTGCCAATAACGCTGCCGGCAAAAGTCAAAAGAGCAGCGCCGCAGCCGCGTCCTGCCCCTGCCGCTCAAAGGGGTGCGAGGTTCCGAGATAACAAAGTCTGCCTCAAGAAATGCTGGAAGCCTTTCAAGAGCGCTGCGAGCTCCTGTGAATGGGGCTGGGGAAGGGGAGGGGGCGAAGCCCACGGGCGGGGAAGGGCTCTCTGCTCCCCCCGCACCTTCCCGGAGGTGCTGCCGAGCTGGGACAGCCCAGCAGGAGCGCAGGGGGATGAGGAAACCCACGGAGAGTTCCTCCCTCCTCATGCCAGCTTTCGTGTTGGATGGGACGGGAAAATGACAATGAAAAGTTAAATTTGGCCTCGGAGTGTGTCGGAGCTCTGGGCTGGCTCTGCAGGGCCTGAGGATGCTCGGTGGGATTGCAGCTCCCCGTGTCCCTGTGGCTGCAGAGGGACAATTACCGGACATCCCATGGTACTTTTTAATGCTTCTGGTGCAAACTGTGTTAAAATTGGGGATTCTTTACAATCCCTACAGATTGTAGGAGCTCAATCCCAGGGACACATGGAGTGCAGGGAGCCCCGGCCCAGCACCATTCCTGCCTAAACCTTCCTTTGGCTCTTGGGAAAAGCAGGAGGATGGGATGGAGGAGAGGGACAGGGACCCCAGACCACGCAGGGAAACCCGAACCAGAGGAAAATCCCATCCACACTGAGCCCCGAGCCAGGGGAAAGCCCATTCACACTGAGCTGATCCTGCCAAACCCCCTCACCCCATAAATGTTGTTCTCCTCCATCCCCACGGGCAAAGGCAGGACCTGGCCCCACACCTTCACAGGTGCTCCAAGTTTTACTTCCAAGATTTCTGAATCTCACCCCAAACTGCTCGGATTCAATTCAGTTTTTACCATTTATCCTCACCTGCATTTCCACAAAACACACACAGACAGTCCCAGGCTCCCATAGGGGACCCCCACACCCCAGCATCCTTTCTTCTTTTTATTTAGGTTTCCTTCAAGCAGCACTGAGTGCCAAAAAAATAAATTAAAATTGTGTTTTGCTTGAGGAGAAAGCATCCTATCATGCTTGGATCAGCCATTAAATCATTTATGCTGCAGCCTCAAAAAGGTGTTTAATCTTCTCAGAATTAGCTAAAGCTGTAGTAACTCAAGGAATTCTGTAGGAGATGCTTTTGCAGAACATTTTCTTTTCACTGCTACTCCAAAACCAATGAGGGCTTTGGGCCATTTCAAATTTAAATTGAATAAAACAATCCAGTAAGAATAAATTATTTCAGTCAGTAACTTACAACAAACTACTCATCACCCACGAGGAGATGCTCCTGCCAGAGCAGGGAAATCACTACGGGACAGAGCAACAAAATAATTCTGGAGTGATATTTCCAAGGGAATTCTTCTTCCACATTTACTCAAAACAAGCAACAACCTACAGGTGCCTTCGGGCCAAATATCTTGGCGTGAGAAGCACTTGGTGTAATTTCGGTTTCCTAGCAAGTTCAAATATTTTAAAAATGTTTACGCCACTTTGGAGATATCCATAGGAAAAACCCGATTTTCTGTCCAGCTCCTCTTCCCCTCCACTGCAGCACACCCCAGCTTTAAACATTTAGCTCTGTCTGGCTTTGCCGGGGATGAAATCCCTCGGTGCTGCGAGGTCTTGTGAGAAGACAAAACAAGAGGCAGAGAGGAGAGGAAGCGAAGGGAAATGCTTGTGTGTGTGTGTGTGATTAAAACCACACTTTATGCAGAGTTCAGTAAAACACCTCCCGATTTTTGCCTCGCCCCGGAGGATGCGGATTCTCCCCAGCCCAGAAAACCATCCCCGCTCCATTTCCCCAAATTTACCACAACCACATGCGGGATCACCCCGTTTCTGGTGTCAGGCCAGGCTCCCTGCGAGCGCTTCCAGCACTAAAACCCGCAACAGAGCCATCCAAACTCAGATTTATTTCTGCTCCTTCTCTGCGCTCCGTCCTGCGAGCCTCCCGAGCGATATGAAAGCGCTCCATCTTCCCCGCTTTAATTATGCGCTCGCAGTCATTAAAGCCCCATTCTGCCGAGCAGCCAGAGCCAGCTCGCAGCCCTCACCCCAAAAAAGATTGGTGATCATCATTAATGCTCCTGGAGCGGCGCGGAGCCGAGGAATGAGCTCGTAAATCACGGCAATATTAATGCAGCCGTAAAAATGAGCGCCGCTACTTACTGGGGTTTTGAAGGTGTGCTAAGTCGTAACTTTACAGCCCCAGATGTGGGCTCGGAGAGCTGAAAGTCTGCGGGTAAAATTACCGCTAAAATGACTCTTTCCATTAAAGACGCTGATTTTTCACAGGTTGTTGCTTGGGCGAGGGCTGGGAAGCTGCAGCCTCCCCCAAGGATGGAGAGAGAGAAACGCGGGGCTCGGGGAGGGCGGGATGGGGAGGCAGGAAGGACAGCGAGAGCTGCTGCTGTGATTATTTTCAGATGTTTCCCCGAGAACACCACGGCGCTTTCCTACATCGACACGTTTGGATTGCCTTCAGAATAACGGGGCAGATTCAGATTCCACCCCCGGCTTCCAGGGAGTTATCGCTGCCGGCCGCCTTGGCCCAGCGCTCCGGAGCTGGCCGGGAGACGGAGTTTAATACACTCCACATGCACAGTAGCTGCTCCTCCGAACGCTTTATCGCCCCAAGAGCTCAATCCCATGGAAACCCTCAAAACACAAACCCCTTGGATCGCCCCAGCTCTGCCCTTTGCCCAAGGGGATCCCGCGACTCGCTCAGGATCAAGCCCGAGGTCCTCGCTCATTTCTGTTCTTCAGAAACCACACGAATAAAACGATTCCTAAAGGAGCGCGGTGGGGAGACGGGGGCACGGCTGGGGATGAAGGACTAAAGGTTAAAATCTCAAAGCTTGCGGAGTGAAACGAGCGCGTTTCTGCTGCCGGCTGCGTCCCTGGCCAGGCGGGATGCGGGACGGGAGGTGTGGGGACAGGAGCGACGCGGGGACGGGGGGGACACAGGGACAGGGAGGGACACGGGGACAAGGACACCGCTTTTCTCCCCGCGGCAGCCCCCCAAAAGCAGCCCCAACCCTGGCGAGGCTCGGAGCTGCCCCCCGGACCCCCTTTCTCTCCCGGGACCCGCCTGTTGCGGACCTACCACATCCTAACCCGTGCAGCAATTAACAGCGCGCTAATTACCGACCCCCTCACCCCCCCGCCCCCCCAACACCACCGCCGCATCCTCACCTGTACCAGCGCAGCCCCTTCTCGTAGCACCTGTCGAAGAAGTGGGGCTCGGCGCCCACCGCCCGCACCCCGGGGTGCGCCCGCAGGAACTCGAGCAGCGCCCGCGTCCCGCCCTTCTTCACGCCCACGATGATGGCCTGGGGGAAGCGGCGGCTGCCGCCCCCCGCGCCCCCCGCGCCCGCCGCCGCCTCCCCCGGGCCCGCGGGCAGCGCGGCGGGCGGCGGCGGCGGCAGCAGCGCGGGCGGCAGCGGCTCGCAGGGCCCGGGCAGGCAGGACAAGAAGTAGGTGAAGAACAGGATCATGGTGAGCAGCAGCGAGGCGCCGCGGCCCCCGGCGGCTCCCGGCAGCCGCCCGCTACATCCCATCGGGGGCCGCGCATCCCGCGCCCCCCGCCCGGCCCCGCGGCCCCCCGAGCTCCCCCCGGGCCCGGCCCGGCCGCGCCGCCCCCACGCGGGGCGGGGGAGGGCGAGGACACGCGCGTGGGGCGGGGAAGGGACGGGGAGGGGATTGGGAGCGGGGAGGGGGCGCGGCACACGCGGGGTCCCCGCGGGGATTGTGGATGGAGCCCCCCACGCGGGGCTGTGGCACCCGGCCCTGCCGCACATGGGACGCGTTTGCCCGCGTTTCCCTGTGCTCCCACGTGTTCTCCCTGTATTTTCCTTTTTCCCCCACGTTTCTGCTTGGTTTTCCATGTTACCCCATATTTCCCTATGTTACTCCATATTTTCATTTTTTCCCAAATTTCCCCCTATTTTCCCACGTTTTCCCCAATTTTCCCCCTATTTCCCCCCTTTCCCCCTATTTTCCCACATTTTTACCATGCTTCCCCATGTTTTCATATGCTTCCCACATTTCCCTGTGTTCTCACATGTTTTTCCCTGTATTTTCCTTTTTTCTCCCATATTTCTGCTTGTTTTTCCATGTTACCCCATATTTCCCTGTGTTACTCCATGTTTTAATTTTTACCCACATTTCCACACATTTTCCCACATTTTTACCACGCTTCCCCATATTCCCCTGTGTTCTCATATGTTTTCCCTGTATTTTCCTTTTTCCCCCCATGTTTCTGCTTGTTTTTCCGTGTTACCCCACGTTTCTCTGTGTTACTCCATGTTTTCCCTGTATTTTCCTTTTTTCCCCCTATTTCCGCTTGTTTTACCATGTTACCCCATGTTTCCCTGTGTCACTCCATGTTTTCATTTTTCCCCACATTTTCCCCACATTTCCACACGTTTTCCCATCTTTTTACCACGCTTCCCCATGTTTTCACATGCTTCCCACATATTTTCCCTGTATTTTTCTTTTTTCTTCCCATGTTTCTGCTTGGTTTTCCATGTCACCCCACATTTCTCCATGTTACTCCATGTTTTCCCACATTCCCATACATTTTCCCACATTTCCACACATTTCCCACATTTTTACCATGCTTCCCCATGTTTTCACACACTTCCCACATTTCCCTGTGTTCTCACACATTTTCCCTGTATTTTCCTTTTTTCCCCCACATTTCTGCTTGGTTTTCCATGTTACCCCATATTTCCCCATGTTTTCACTTTTTCCCCCATTTTCCCCTATTTTCCCCCATTTTGCCCCATTATTTTCCCACATGTCCCCCTATCTTCCCACATTTTCCCCTATTTCTCCACCTTTCCGCACACTTCCCCCTATTTTTCCATATTTTTACCACGCTTCCCCATGTTTTCACACACTTCCCACACTTCCCTGTGTTCTCACACGTTTCCCATGATTTCCCACATCATTTCTCCAAACTTCACCACATTTTCCCATCCATTTTTCTCCTTGCCCGTGTTCTCTCCTCCTCTCCCCATTCCCGGGGCTGCTTTTGGGTAGGGTCCCACTCCTGCAGCAGGGCAGGGTCCCAGGCTGGTGTCTTAATTAGCCTATTAATGTAATTAACTCTGCTTAATTAATCCCCGGGTTCTCCAAGAGCTGGGGATGGGGATCCATGGCCTGGGATGGGCAGGGGGGAGCAGAGCTGGGCTGGGGTCGGTGAAGGTCCTGCAGGGCCACAGTGGCACCAGTGGGGACTTGTGGGGTGACAAAGCTGCAGGGGGACATGGGGACAGGGCTGGGGGTTGACAAACCTGTGGAGTGACATGGGGACATGGATGGCGGGGTTAACAAAGCTGCAGGGGGACAAAACCGCAGGGTGACAAAGATGCAGGGTGACACGGGGACAGGATGGCAGGGTGGCAGGGCTGCAGGGGGACACGGTGACAGTGACACAGGGCTGCAGGGGGACGCGGTGACGCGGCTGCCTGGCTGCTGGGCCAGGGCTTTGTGCCCTCTCGTGGCTGGTGCCGCCGGTCCCGCAGTGCTCTCAGAGGGCTGGGACAGCCCCAGACCCCTCCCAGCCCCAGCCCCGAGCTCCAGGGCCGGGCGGGAGCGATGGCACCGAGGGACGGCAGCTGTCACTGATGCTTTGGTTTAGTTCTTATTTCCCGTTTCCTAAAAATTTCCTGCACTGCATTGGTACATAACTCTGAACTCCACAGAAAGCGTCAGCAGCTCTCCTCACAGCTCAGGCACACAGAACAATCCTTGTCCAGCCCCAGAACCAAGGACACCGCTGCAGCTCCAGCCCCAAAAAGTGCAAACAGTGAAATAAAGAGGAAAAAACAAGGATGGAACTTCATAACCTAAAGCAGGAATTGGACAATTATCCCCAATATGGAAATGAAGCAGAACTTATAAAAATGTGAGACCTCATGCATTTTGTGACCATTTTGGTCCATCTTGGGTGTAGCCACAACCAGGCCCTTGCACTGCCCAAGGTGTATTCATTAAGGCCTTTTAATAAATCCCTGCTTTATCCTTTAGCTCTGCCCAGGCTCTGCTCTGGCCCAGCCTCCCAAGCCATCCCTATCAGAGCAGCTCCATCAGCACAACCCCATCCAAACGCTGCCCCTGGCCAGCCCCGGCTGCCTTTCCCTGAGCCTCTGCAAACAGGAGCTGCTCCAGCTCCCTGTTTGCCTTGGGAGGGCCAATGTTGCTCTTGGAAAATGCCAATTTGTCAGAATGGGAGCGTTTGGCAGGAGCAGATCCGTCCTGACACACGCTCCTGTCCCAGCGCAGCCAGGGAGACTCCGGGAGGGGGGAGCGGGGCACTCCCCCTCCTCACCCTCCTCATCCTCGGCATGGGGGCTGCCAGGGCTGGTGCCACGGGGCCTCCTGGCACCGCCAGCTCCCCACAGAGCAGTCAGAGCCTTCCTTTCTCACCTCCAAAATTGGGGAAAAAGGCTGAGAACACCAGTCTGCGGTCAGGGCTGGCGCCGAGGGCTTGGGATGGGCCCAAGGTCACCCCAGCCCCTGTCTGGGGGGCCCTGCAGGAGGGTCCCTGCATGCAGCCCAGGCCCCACCAGCCAGGCAGCTCGGGCCATGGAGGGTGAGCAGCTCACGTGCAGGTTTTCAGCAGAATCAGGGCATTTGGGGTGAAATAAATGAGTTCTGCAGCGTCCTCCCCGTGTTTGGTGTCCCAGGGGTGGCAGTGCCAGGCCTCACCACCCTCAATGGTCCCCACTGAAGCACAGCCAGGGCTGGCTCTCCCTCCCTGGGTCCTGGCAGGGGTGAGCAGCCCTTGGGCAGCCCCAGGGCTGGGCTGGCGAGGAGGGAGCTCGCTGGGAGGGAGGCCATGGGGAGGGAGATGCTGCATGGAGGAGAGTGAGCAAACCCTGGGGAGAGCAATGGGATCAGCTCTTCCCATAAAAAACTGGTCCTGCAGTGGGATCAGCTCTTCATGCAAACCCTGTCCTGCAGTGGGATCAAACCCTGCTCAGAGCAGTGGGATCAGCTCTTCCCACAAAAAAAAACTGGTCCTGCAGTGGGATCAGCTTTTCACACAAATCCTGGTTCTTCAGTGGGATCAGCTCCCACCACAATCCCTGCTCAGAGCAGTGGGATCAGCTCTTGATCCAAACCCTGGTGAGAGCAATGGGATCAGCTCTTCCCATAAAAAAAAAAAAAAACTGCTCCTGCAGTGGGATCAGCTCTTCATACAAACCCCGTCCTGCAGTGGGGTCAGCTCTTCTTTCCCCAAATCCTGCTCAGAGCAATGGGATCAGCTCTTCATACTAAAAACCTGGTCCTGCAGTGGGACCAGCTCTTCCTACAAATCCTGCTCAGAGCAGTGGGATCAGCTCTTCATCCAAACCCTGCTCCTGCAGTGGGATCAGCTCATCCCCCAAACCCTGTCCTGCAGTGGGATCAGCTCTTCATCCAAACCCTGTCCTGCAGTGGGATCAGCTCTTCTTTCCCCAAACCCTGCTCAGAGCAGTGGGATCCCCAAACCCTGTCCTTCACCAGGATCAGCTCATCCCCCGGACCCTGTCCTGCAGCAGGGGACTGTCCTGCCTGATCCAGGACAATGACAAGTGCCACCAGGGCCAAACCCAGCAGCACCAGCACAGCTCCACCCTCTCCCCCACCCCACACCCAGCAGGGTGGGACCCCTGCCACCCACAGGTGCCCCAGCACGGTCCCCTCCTCCAGCCCACCCCAGGCCGGGGCTGCTCGGGCATTTCTGGGATTTCCCCAATTTGTTATTACAGAAAACGAAAGAAAAGGGCTGGTGGGATCAGCGGGGATGAGAAGTGCTTTAGGAACACGTTCAGCAGGTCCCCTCCACACTCTGCCCGGCTGCTAAAGGCTCGCAGGGCTCTGAAAGGCTCGCACAGCTTGATGGGGAGCGGCTGCTCCAAACAGCCGCAATTAGCGCAGCCAATTAGCGCCGCCGGCACAATCCAATTAGCGCCGCTGTTTCCCTGATTGCAGCCGCTGTTGGACAAATACGGCAAAACTGCTCGGGTTCAGAGAGGGATGGATGGATGGATGGATGGATGGATGGATGGATGGATGGATGGACGCATGGACGCACGGATGGACGGATGGATAAGGGATGGATGGATGGATGGATGGATGGATGGATGGATGGATGGATGGATGATGGATGGATGGATGGATGGATGGACGGATGGATGGACGGATGGATAAGGGATGGATGGATGGATGGATGGATGGATGGATGGATGGATGGACGGATGGATAAGGGATGGATGGATGGATGGATGGATGGATGGATGGACGGATGGGTGGATGGGTGGGTGGGTGGATGGATGGATGGATGGATGGGTGGATGGATGGGTGGATGGGTGGATGGGTGGATGGGTGGGTGTCCCCAAAGCCACACAGCCCTGCCCGGTCACTCCTCACTGTCCCCACCATGGGATCATCCACACAGGGATGTGCCCAGCAGCTCTGGCAGTGCCACCCCCCTGCTGTTGTCCCATCCAGGGTCTCGGCAAAAGCTTTTCCCCAAGATCTGAGGTTTATCTGCTGGATTTTGGGG